GTAACTTGATCAACTGACTGCAGCTCAGCAATCATTAATGGAGGAACTCGTTGCAAAACAAAGGACCTGCAGCGTGCTGCTCTGAAGCATGAGAAATTGATCACCAGATGGGCTTCCGAATGCATGTGCTATGGTTGGGTCCAGCGCTAAAAACACAAACATCTGTGCAAAGTTCTTGCCTCTGGTCTTTGGACAGCTACAGCTGAAGTCCTGGATTCTTCGAACAGGCTCTGCTTGCGAAGCTTTGAGCTGCTTTTTCATACATCCTCCACATTGGACAACCTGAATGCCTCTCAACTGCTCGGCAGCGTCCATGAAGTCAAAGGTCTTGGTCGGACAAGCTTTGCTGAGAACCCTCTGGCCGCACTCGTGCAGTCAAGCCCCCAATCTTTGGACCAAAAATAGGAAAGCAGGCTATTTGGATCTATTTGGGCCAGGAGATGGAGAAGTCCCAATCAGTGTCTGCAAAATGCCTCTGCATAGACCCCGCAAACCTTTCCTCCACCCGCTTCTTCATCTTCGAATTTGGTGAGAGCTGAGAAATCCTCTTCCAGCAAACTCCTTGGTCAAGCCATACCTCTGACCTCTTTTGATTACAAACTCCTAAGCTGAGAGGAAATGGCCATTTGGGAAACTCAGACGCAAACACCGCATCGTTGAGGTTTGGTTCTATCCACCGCGCCAAACGGCGGCGACATTGGGCTCATGTTCATGTGGCATGACCAAAGTAACCATGGCTCGGCCAACATGGGGTATCCTCTTGGCCACTTTGGCAGGGTCTTTGATCTAACGAATTGTCCAGCGAACGGAGAGCTTGAAATCCTGTGTCCCTGGCCTTCGTTGCACTTGCTTCACTTGCTTCAAAATTTGTGACTGGAGGGAGTGAGCATAATGAGGCAAAACAACTGAAAGCAAACAAGGCAAACCCAGGCGAGTTGCGCGGCAAATATATTGCACGTCTCGCAAAAGAGCCAGCTGCTCTAGCTCGTACACAAGCTGACTAGAACATGGCGATGCCGACGTCCAGTGCTCAATGTTTGGAAAGCTGACTTTTTCCAATTCAGTCTCCAACTGAAATACGACTGGGAGAATTGGAACATCTGCGGCAAAGGATCCACTCAAGTCTCTCATGCCTTCGATGGGGCAACGACATCCGATGATTTGCTCAAGCAATTGCTCCAAGAGACATGCGTCCGAAAGTGACAAAATCAGCGAGCTTCCAGCAATACACCTGCGAGCGCTGCGACGTGGGGGTCCAGACAAAGGAATCCCCATAGAAGGAACATTCAAGGATCACACGTAAATACATAATATAAGTACATACAATGCAAAAATGCCAAGGAACACAACTCAAAGGGAAAACCTGCAAACCATCCAATCAGAAAGATCTTTTAAAAAAAAACAAACATTCAATCCCGGCATTCATTGTCAGGTCGAGTTTTGATATCTTATGTTCTCTTGACACCGGGAAAACACAAGAAAAGAGGAAGCAAAGCAAAGCGCAGGCCTCTGGTTTCGAAACTTTGGCACTTCAACTGATGAGGGGTTTGGCCGCCTGTGCTCATGTGCTTACTCATCACATGAGCTCATGCCACAAACTTCTGGTCAAATGCAGCCAAATGCTGGTCAATGTAGACGCTTGATGTTCATTATAGTAATTTAGACGCTTGATGTTCCATTATTTAAAAAAAAACACCTATGAACAGGTTTTACGATATTTTACGATCCAAATTGATGGATCAAGAGTCCACATATATTATATGTCTACATGATCCTGATAGATGTTCATATGTCTACGTCTACGCTTGTCTACGTCGATGCGCCTCAGGACGGTTGGTTGTACCACCAAGGCATTTCTGCCAGGTGGGTCCAGTTGAAGGATGTGGTTCTTTCTGACAATGCAGCTGCTAAAGAACATTTGGCCTCGTCAAGCTGCAAGGAGGACAGAGCGGAATGAAGTCCTGAGAGCAATCTGCGAGCGATGGTAAGCTAGACTTGTTGAAAGTCTGTTTGCACACAGTAATTGCTTATACATCTTGCAAGGAAGCACAGTACCCGAGTGTGTTTTACCCTAATTGGAAGTGTGACGTCCTGGCCGGAACAATCATTTCTACAAACCAGGGGGCGCTTCTACTTCGCTTGTCTAGGGGAGGGTGCTGGTGTTATTTGCCAATTCCAAGGCCAAGTCTCTCTTTGGTTCTTTCCAGCTTTGCCCGGCCCAATGAGCCAAACGATGCTGCAAGCGGCAAGGGCTGCAAAGTGGTCAAACCAATAAACGTGCCGTGGCATGCGGAAAAACAGACTTGCTTCAGTAAAGCATGTTCATGACCTCACATGCATCAGTGCATTTGGATAACAGCACGTTTCAAACTACGAGTGTCGTCCAAATTGTTTTGAGCAATCTCTTTCGTGCAATGAGCAGTGCCCTTTGGCACACCATCACTTTGGAATGACACTTGTGCAGCATGAATTTGTGTCACACAACCCTGCTCTCATCTGTCGCGTGCTGCATTGGCCTGGGCCAAAATGTATTGCATGACAGGACATTATTCGAAATGCAAGGCCGCACAAGTTGCTCAAATGCTGGAGGCTCCCTGAGTCGGTTAAAACCCTAGTCTCACCCGTAAAACTGTTCAGTGTGGTTTCACCAATCTCCCAAGAAAGCCACTTGGATTTGCTTAGGATAACATGTTCCCCAAAGGGGTTCCCCGCAACATCAACGATCATCTCAAACCCGCTCTTTGCGAACTTAGCTGCTGAGCATAGGATGGCCAAAATGAGCCATGGCTTTCAAGGATCGGCGTTAGCTTCTTGTTACTAGTAGCGGTGCCCTGTGTTACTAGTAGCTTCTTGCTCCTAGTAGTAATGCCTGGAACTACTATATAGTAGCTTCTTGTTACTAGTAGCGATGCCCTTGCTGCTAGTAGCTTCCTAAGAAGATTGAAAGACATGTGGTGAACTCGGTGTGCTTAACTCGAGTGTCCTTCAAATATCTGCGATCCCCTGATAAGGCTTGAACATGGTTTACTTTTTGTTTCAGCCTGCAAAGCGCAAGGGCGATTCCAACATTTGGTGTCTCCTTGAACTTGACTGCAGCCAACTCAAGTCTCCAACTTCAACTTCACTTATCCCATCTGATTCGATGGGTCTTTGATTCTCCATTGGACACAAAATGGCATGGCGGTGTTGGTTCGCATATATGTTCGCACCACAGTTCTTCGACCTCATGCAATCTCATGCACCAAATCATACTGTATATAAGTGCAGTACCACTGGGCAAATGGACATCAAACACCTCATGCAATCTCATGGCTAACTCGGGCCCTATCTGGAGACCTAAGGTTAACCTAGACGTAGTGTATGGAGGCAGCTCAAACAGCTAACCCAGCTGCAAGACATCAAAACACATCCGAAATTCAGAGATTCAGAATGCATTTGCTCTGTTTCCATTTCGTCACATGTCCAGAAACGGTGGTTTTGGTTTGCACTCGGACTCCTTTCATCGCTGTTCGGTGAGGCGTTCACGGCGTGAGGCGGCGTTCACTTCGCCTGAGGGGCTCCAGTGGAACGGTCCCACCGCGTCCGTGGAAGCCGTGGATGCAGGGTCCGGAGGTGGTCGGTGTGGTTCCATGGTTTCGTGGTCCTCCCTGGGGTGGTTGGAGGATATCCGGTTCCAAACGCGACACATGGGACTGCCAGTGACTGCCTGAGTTTCACGGCCGATTGGGTGGTGGTATTGGGGGTTTTCATGGGGCGGCATATATGGCGGTCCCATGGAGTGTATGGGTATGGGATGATACACATTGATACACCCATAACCAGCATACCCAGCATATCCATACCATGAACTTGATAGCCTGACAGGTGGTTCCTGGGCGTGGTTTGCCAGGAGTCCAAGGAGTTGTTCTACCCTCAGAACCTTTTTTGGCGTCCCTTTCCTTGCAAGACTTGTTGCGAGTCATTGGTCAGGCTTTTGGAGGTACTCATGATATCTCATGATGAGCCTCTGGTATCTTGGGCTATGATTCCATTCCAGCAAGAGCAGTGTGATGTGGTGCTAGAGCAGAACCCTTTGGAAGCAATGCATTGTCACAATCTTTCACCTGAAACATTCATAATAATTCACCCAGTCGACCGGTCGCGCATTGAGAGTTTCTCTCCCTCTCTCTTTCTTCTTTCCTACGCCACTTGTGGATCTTTGATCTCCCTTCTTCACCTTCCCACATGCCCCATCTACCCTCCCACGTGCATGGGTCACGCGGCCCGATTGCCGGGCCCCACCTTCTTGTTGGTGAGGATGCGTAACACGAAGGTCGCAGCCTGCGCGCCCTCCGGCTTCAGCACCTCCTCCCGCCGGAGCACCGACACCTGTGGTGCTTGGAAACGGCGAGCCGGACATAGTGACACGGCATGACACGGCCAATCTTCCTGTGGTTGGGGTATATAGTGGGCTGGGATATGGAACGAGAACAGTAAGTGGAGGATGCCATCCACGTTGAAGTTCTTCGTGTTGCGCTGCGCATGTCGGCAAGAATCCCCGGTCGCTCAGCAAGTAGGGCGCCAAAGCGCCTATTTCTTGGCACCTGCCTCCATCCCAAGCATAGCGAGTTTCGGAGGTAGGCCATTACAAGTGGCCGCCTCAATGGGCCATCTCACGCCGGGGGTCCGAATCTCACCTTACAAGTACAGGTGGTTTGGTCATGCAGGTTTGCTCAGAAACCGCTCTAAGAAGTCAAGGAACAGGTTTCAACTCATGAATCACGCCCCGGCTTCAGAGGTTCTCAAATCCACAGGGGGAGGGTTGATGGATTTGGAGTATGTCGTCCAAGGGTCACGTGGTCGGACGGTCGACGGCTGGACTCGCCTGTCCAGTGGAGATGTGAAGCATCTCCGCTCGGACGAGGTCTCCCCGGACGAGCTTCCTGGGTCGACAGCCCGGAGGTCCAACGCGGAACGGGAAGAGGGCCCAAAGGGATTAAGTAACCTCACCCTTATTATTAATCAAGCCCAGCGAGAGGGGGGGAAGGGGGGGGTTGATTAATCAGCTCCATCCCGTGGTTTGCAAGTGCTTTGCTCCATCCCGTGTTTGGCCAAGAAGCTCCGCAACGCGCGAAACTCCGCGCGTCTCCCGGCGCAGGTTTCGGTTCATGGCGTGGAAGTTTGGCCTGCTGTCTCTAAGATGAAGTCATGCATATTTACGAATTTCATAGACTGCCTGGAACTCACATGGAAGTGGAAAACCCCTGTTTGTAGGCGAAAATGGTCTTCCAAGGCGCCATGTTTCCAGGGACTGTACCAGTCTTTTTTTTACATGTTATATATATATATATATATTAAAACAAATACAGAAACCGCGCTTAAGTCAAAATGTGAAGCCAACCAGAACCATTTCTCCCGTCAGTCGCCAAGAAGGGAAATATATATATATATACATAGCATCACATTCGCAAACGAATGGCAAGCAACAAAAACCCAAAGTGTCCTGTAAGCACCCTTGGAAAAACGATGCACACATTTGCACGTCCCGTCCTATCACGATCTCGCTTTGCACACCGTTGTTTTAAGACATGGGGCGATCTGTGCGACTCTGATTCCTGGAATTGAGCGAAACCTGCAGGCTGAAAGCCCATGAGATCCCATGACTAGATCGACCTCCTTCTGCTGAGTCGGAACAACCACGCTGCTGACCTGCTGATGCCGGTTGTCCGTGGCTTCGGTCGCATCGTCCCGACAGGTCCGTCTCCAAGTGGCTCATTCTTCAAGGCCGCATGAACCTGGCACCATCCAGTCGGCCGGAAAGCAAGCTGGGCGGTGAAGGATCCAAAAGGAAAGAAACACAGACTAGGGGTGATCAGTGCCATCATAGGGGCTCTGGGGATCAATAAAGCTGCAATTCCTAGTGCGACTTCGGTGCCGAGGTGCGACTTCGGTGCCGAGAATCTGCAAGGTAGGCAACTATGGGCCCCCCTGGTGCCTCCCTGAGCAGCATTTCAAAGGCCAGTCTGTGCTACAGCCGGCCGTGGAGCCCCAGTTTTGCGCCACCACCATCTTACTTGCTGGGAGAGATTCCATTCGACTTGGACAAGTCTAACCACAAACTGGCACTAAGCGGATGGGAAGGCTGGAATCGAACAAAACAATCTTCTTCGAGCCGAAGCAAATGTCTCACCTGTGACCCCCCGGCTATGACAACATACCGTACCGTACCTGCCTTATTTTGAGGAACACCATCTTCGTAACTCCTATGGGTTTCCGCGGGACATTCTTTGTCAAAGCTCATGTGTGGAGCAGAAATCCGATCACAAGAATCCAGAAGCTCAACGATGCCTCCTCGACTGTGGAGAGAGGTCGCAACATCATCATCGTGACTAACTTCGACTTGGTCGAATAGCCACCGCTGGACCTCAAAGTAGACGGACTGGTCATGGTATCTCTCTTGCTCTATCCATCACGGCACGGCCATGGCACGGTTGGGACTTGGGGATGGGCCAAAGGCTGCTGAGACCTGGACCAAGGAGGGGCTGCCGAAAAAACGGTGAAAAGAATAACCAGCACCACCCAAGGGGGTGGTTATTGGATGAAAAATGCATCTTCAGGGGGGTTCTATAAACCACCCTTTAGGTGGTGCTGGAAGATTGCACCAACATATTTCCTCCCTGAGGGTCCTTGTCTCGACAATTGTTTGGGAGCGTTGAGACTTGCGGATGAAAGAGAAACTCCCCCACAGCTCCTTCATGTTTCTTCCGAAGTGACCTTTATTGGAGTCCCCAAGTGACTGGTGACCTTTTCCAGGCCTGAGATGGCCTAACTAAGTGACCTCAAAACCAGCGGATCCAGTTCGGTCACTTGGAAGAACCAAACCGCCTGCCGCCCGGTTGCAAGCTCTGAAGGGTGGTAAACTCGCTCACGGGGCAGCAAAACACGGGGCTCCGTTGCAGGACCGCGCGCGAAAGCACCTGGCGCCCAGCTCGGGACGAAGACTTCACTTGTTTGGTCTTCATTCCAAGGGGGCCGTGATGAGGCCATGGCACCCACTATCTACCACCCAAACATGCCCAAACACTCCATGGGATTGGAATGCCCCCATTGAACCCACCCAAACCACCCCAATGGAATGAAACATGCCATACATGAGGTGTGCTGGAAACCTGGATGGATCGAAGGGTCGTATGGGAAGTCTTACGCTGAGACTTACACTTTCCTTGCGCGTGCGCAGTTTTAGCTTACCCGGTCAGTTGTAGCGAGGACTTGCGCCAGGCTTCCGCGACAACAGCGCACTCTAATTTCCACACCCCTCCAAAGGAAAAGCTTAATTAAGAGAAAATGGTTTGATGACAGCACAGATTCACACACACACATCTGCACTAATTACTACTGCTACTGTAATCACATATCGATCTCCATCGGACACCCCTTGGAAGAGACTGGACCCCCAGCTAGGAAACCCCGAACGGATGATTCATCCTGGTCTTCCAAGACCTCCAAGTTCCAATAGACGGGATGGAATCTATATCGAAACGCCGCCCAAACCACCTCGCCCGGGTGCAGCCGCGCTGGAAGCTCCGGCCTCCATGACACCCGTGGAGCCATAAACCTCCAGCACCTTCTGCCGAAGCTGAGACACCTGCACCGCTCATCGATGAGGTCGGTCCACCAACCCCCTTGGTCGGTCGGGCTGCAGGAGTTGGAGGTCCAATGGATCCATCAGACCTTCCAAGCCTCGCCCGGTGCTTTTGGGACAGATCCACTTCATCAAGAGGCGATTGATAGACATCTCTTGGTGTCGGTCCTGGTACTGGTCCTGGTATATGGGAGTTTCGTCCATCTTTCGCGTTCGCGGTGGGAAACTGGGTGAGATATGGTGGAGTAAAAGCTTCAACACGGAAGTGCACAGTGCCTGGGAATGCGTCCAACATGGGTCAACCAGATCCTGGCACTCCAATGAGTAGAATAGAATCATATATGAATTTATATGATTAATATGTGTTTCCCTAGCATTGGATGGTTGAACAGGGGTCTGGATACAACATATAAGAGGCATGTTTGCAGGTCATGTCGTGTACAGATCCCACGCCGTGGACTACATCGACAGATCCCGATCGCCGCTGTTTCGCCACCGCCGCCGGTCCCATTGTGGGCGTGTCATGTTGCGAACCGGTCGCTCCCCCCAACCGCCGGTCGCGCGTGAAGGAAGGGACCACGGGATAGGGAAAAAACAACGGGTCACTCCCCGTCTGGGCGTGTTTGGTCGGCTCCAGGTGCCGCTACCGGAGCGAACCATCTAACATCACCGGCCGGACCCGCGTCGAAGAAGCCACCGGAGAAGCCAAGCGCGGGACATGCGGCTTGCGCCTGGTCGCGGACATCTTCAGGTGCATGCTCGGTGATTGCGATGGACTGGGGGCCTCCGCCTTCGAGATAGGTCAGATGACCTGGCAACGTACGTGCTTGGCGTCCCTAGGAATTTGATGGGCTTGACCGAAGCAACTACTAAGGATTTGGCACTACAAAACCAGGTCAACATGTGTTCGAAGATCACCAAAATGGTGCCCTTTCGAAAGACTTGGAGCCTTTTCTGTGGTAGCTCTTGGAAGCTCATACTTCCTGCTGTTGCAGTGTTGCCTCATCTTCGGGAGCTGTCTTTCGAAAACAGCCATCCACCTGATAAACTTGGTGACTTGACTGAGACAAGGGGCAGAAGTCTCCCCAACACCGTCCCGACCCCATGACGTTGCCCACGCTTTATGACGTTGCCAAATGCAGTGGAACCTTTCACAGGGCTTATCATGGCTTCAGGCGGTCGGGTCGGAAAACCTCCCCCACCATCGGTCGGAACAGATCTCGGTCCCTCGTTTCCGTTATTCGCTTCTTGTTCCGTTCGTAGCGATGCCAGGAGCTATGGGCCTATATAGTAACTATAGCGATGCCCTTGACTCCGTTCGTAGCGTCCGTGTTTACTAACAACAAAAAGGACCCTAAACCCTAAACCCATCGGAAAGTGGAGCTCCACCCATCGATCATCTCGGGTGTTCTGAACGCTCATCCGAGTCTTCGGGGCGCCAATGCCACCATCCACGGAACCATGAAAACCTTTAGGGATGTGTATCTCCAAAAAGTGCTTTGATCTACAGTAAAGAGTCTGACCGAACCAACATGCTGAACATGGATGTGTCTCCTTCAAAAAGGCAACGAATTCATACAAATTCCAGATCTGCACCATCCAGGAAGCCAAAAAACAAATACCTTCAACACGAGCTTTCGCCAACTCACCCCGCAAATCATTGGTGCACCATGCGCCTTTCCGTTGCTGCTGCAGCAGCCACAGCTCACTGCGCGCGGACACTGCCACAGCATTGCCCAAGGCAGCCTGGATGGTTGGAGGAGCGTCAACAGGAGAAACGCGAGGGAACCTTGGCTGATCACCCTAAATGACAAGAATAGACCATACTATTACTGACAAATAGGGTCAACCTGCCACAATTAGGAATGCTTTTGAGATCCAACATTTGATTCACAACTATTTGAATTTTTCTATAGAGTCTCTCTGAAACACTTTCTCATCAGCCGTGGTCTGTTTCGCATTGATCCCCCCATCGGGCTTTTGGTCCGAACTGCACGGAACTGCCGGCGTCCTCGCCCGCTCGATCTTCGGCAGAACTCACCGCGGCCTGCGCTCTCACGATGTGCTCTTGAGCTTCTGCCGTGTCCGCCTGCATACACACTCACTTCGCGGTCCAGCGGGTGATCTGGTCAACATCGAGTCTTGAGGAGTGGAAAACCGGAGGGAACATGCGCAGCCTTGACATGCCGGAACTGTTAACAAGTCGGCGGGGGGGGAACAGTATCCAGAACATTGAGAAGCAAGATTTCGGGTGCCATTTCACGCCTAGATCTTCCTTTAAAGCTGCAGTATATATATATAGGTTCCGATTGAGACCCTACAAATTTATAGGGTTTGGTTGCGTAGGGTATATTATATTTGTCAAAACGTCCGCTCTTCCATATATTAGTTGGAAGGTCCAGCTTAGTCCACGTCTGGATCTCCGAAACATGCGACGACTGGGAGGTCCCACAACATCTGATTCGTGAGCCCTTGTTTGCATGGAGACCCCCCCACACAACGACCCCCTGGAAAAGAGGACGGCATATATAAGTATAAGGAAACGTGGGTGAAAGTGGTCTAAAACTGATTGGCCTACTTAAGGAGTTGACATGATCTCAACATATCTGAACCCACCTTTCCCTATCTTTCCATGGATCTTGGACCTTTGAACTCGCAACCGGCCAGTCAACCCCATGTTTCCTTCTGGTCTCTTTGCGCGCATCCAATGGTCGTCATCGCCTTATTCAAAGCGATCACGATGGGGAAGCGGACCCGAAGGAAGCAAGCGACCAGCAAATGAAGGTCGAATTCGCTCCAGTTCAGGACGTCCTCGCGCAAAACGGGGCAGGATGAATTATGATTCCTTTTGTTCCGTGTCCATGGTTGCAAGTACAAACGTGTACATGCTACTGCATTTGCAAAAGACATGTGCATGCTTGTTGGTTGCACACAAAACTTCATACACATCATATGCCCATAACTGGCATAATGATTTATTCAATGTATTGAAAGGACTCTCCACACTGATGTCGATTCTTGACCACTACAGGATATCATAAGAGTCCTTTTTAAGCCTCGCCAGTCGGATCATGTCCTGTCCATTCCTCTCAGCTTATGGCTACACCATCTGTGGGGGGAAAATATGTTCTCAGCGAAACATGGTGCGTCAGGCCATCTCGGCTAGCCTCCATGTCTGGGATTTGCCTAAGTAACCTGGAAAAATAGAGGGCGGGTGTGCTTGGGAGAGCACGCACTAGCTCAAAACCTTGAGAAACACTGTAAGTACCGTGCAAAATTTCAAAGACTGCTCTGCGACCTAGGCGAAATGCATTATCATATTTTTCAACCTTCCTGTGCCCAGTCTGGATGTGCAGCGTCAATGACAACAATTAACAGCTCTTCGTCTGCCCACTATCACTGTGTAACACCAATGACAAGTAGGTTAATTCTTCTCTGCGCGCAATGAATGTAGCATCATGAACGAATATAAATACTACATATATACATCAAGATGAACATGTATGTCAATGATATTGCGTTAGTCTCTTGCTATCTGGCTTTTCATGATGTATTTTTACGTGTCCATTTGCAAACAAACCTCTCCCAGGAGCACCCGTATTGTTAATGAACAGGGCCCCCCCTCCCCCTTCACTTTGACCTTGAATAAAGTTCATTCCAGATTCTAAGAAAGGAGTTTAAGAAGTAAATGAAATGAATCTTTACTTAGGACAAGTTCCTGGATCAACACAGAAAGGAATTTATAAGAAAGGAGTTTAATAAGGAAATGCCGTGAATCTCTACTTAGAACAGAAAGGGGATTCTAAGAAAGGAATTTAATAAGTGAAATGAATTTTTACCCGAAACAGAAGGGGCATTCTAAGAAAGGAGTTTAATATGAAATGAAATGAATCTTTACTTAGATACTTAGAGCAGGCAACAAACATGTTTGGCTGTATTTAGGGTGCACTTTATTTAGGGTATGGTGGCTTCATGAGGGGTAGCCTTTCCAGAGTCGTACTGATCAAATTGCTATTGCTTTTCAACAAAGGGTTTTATAAAGAATTCTCTAGGCAGGACTTGCGTTTAGCGATACTGTCGGAAGCACAACCGTGTCAAACATGCAAACTATTAAAAAGACTGTGCAACTTATCACGAATGTTTGCTGCGCGACAACGTTTAATTAAGAACAAAAAACAACAACTCCCCCCCCCCAAAAAAAAAAGTTTGAGGCAAAATGGAAAACAACACCCTTCAAAAACAACAAAATTCCAACTCCTATAGTACCCCCATGTTGTCTCAAACATTTGTTTTTTGTTTTTATGTGTTTTTTGTGTTTTTTTTTGGTTTTGTAGTATTCCCTCAAGACTGTTATAGGCCTGGCCCTCACAAAATTGATCTAACAACAGCTGAAAACCTAGGGTTTGGTGATGTTTTAGCCAAAAATCATTGTAAAGCACAATGTATCCCTCTATATAAACTGTTATAGGCCTGCCTCACAAAATTGATCTATAAATAGCTGAAAATGTTTGTTTTTGTGATGTTTTAGCAAAAAATCACTATAAAGGACCATGTATTCCCCCCTCTAAACTGTGATAGGCCTGGTCCTCACAACAATAATCTAAAACTAGCTGAAAACCTTTTGGTGGTGTTTTAGCAACAAATCACTGTAAACACAGTGTTTTTGCAATCTTTGGCATGAAAAACATATCCCAGGAGCACCCGTATTGAACAAATATCCCCAAGGGCCCAGGGCCCCAGAAGGGGATTTACATTGAAAAACAATCATCTTACACAAGCAATACCAGGATGTCTATTTCACCAAACCCAACTTTTTCAGGAATTGGCAGTTTGAAAGTCCTAAGCCCACTTTGAAGACAGGGACAACCAGAATGCAAAAGTTCTGATGCCTCATGTAATTAGCCTACTAACATGTATCAGCATGAGTCCTAAGTATATTCTTACATTGCAAGTTGCTAAGCTGCTAGCTAGCTCTGCCAGCAAAAACTTTCACTGGCTCTACTGCACTGGCTACAACATCCCTTCCTCGCCGCCGCGCGAGCAACGCGCGCGCGATTCGTTCGCGGGCAACCTGGGGCAGTGTGGCGATGCGGTGGCCCGTGGATTCGTAGACTTGTGCAACCAGCTGTTGGGAGCAATGGTAGCCTGCCCACCCGACATCCCAACCAGCTTGACCTGAAAGCTTATTAATTCGTCCGACTGCTTCAGGGTGCAGGATGGAGTCAATGAGTCTATGAGTGGATGTCTAGGGCCTAGGGCCTAGGGATCCAACTACCTCCTCGGAAGGTGGTTGGGGTGGGTTTGGTAACCACCTTCTGAGTCTGAGGATGTGGTTGGACCCCTAGGGATTCATCACTATAATATCTATATATATATATATATCAGGGACTTGATGTGACTTCACAAGTTTGACTTTCAAAGCTGGAAAATCAAAGGATCTTGGAAAGTCAAAGTGCCTTCGCACTTTGCCTTCGAAGTCTGAAAACCTGACCCCACCTCCATTGCCAGCAACCGCCGGCGGCGGCCCGGTGCACAGAACCCACGGAACGACGACGGCCATCGCCTGTGAAGAGTCCAAAGAGCCGCTCGGCCGCCAAAGGCTGCAGGGGGGCGAATTTTGCCCTCTTACGCACCGAGTGCCACTTCGCGCGCACATTGCCTGAGGAGCAGAGTGGCAGGCGTTCGGGAAAAGCAGACGCACGTTGAAAGGCAGAATACTTACTGGGGGTAGAACATTTTCTGAGCTGAACTTATATACAACCCAACACTTTGCGTCACATCGGGCGTTTACGTGAAGCAGCTGCAACTGAGTGGCAGAATATCCACATGTGGATCTCTTGCCGGACCCACTCCACATCCTTCAATGGATCATGCCCTTTGCCCTCGGAGGCCCGCAGCGCTCAAGAAAGCTATGCTACGGAGAGAGGCTGGCGGTGGACGGTTTGCGGCTGTGATGTCCAGGGTAAATGGTTGTTTTTGACAATAACTAAAGATTGCGGATGGTCGAGGATGTCAAGATAAGATTGATCATCAACCTTTCAGGGTGTGTAGGGTGTGTTTGAGTCTCCATGTCGAGACGGGCCATGTTGATGTTTCTAGCATATTCTAGCATTTGTTCCCCAAATGCGGTGAACAAGCACCTGTTAGCCACCCGAGGCCGATTGACCCACCTGTCATTTATCCCTGGACTCCATCCTTCTCCGTATTGCTCTGCAATGCTATTACGAAAAGAAGTGCAAGGCGAAAAGGCCTCTACCAGCTCCCGGAAGGGACCAAAACATTCCCAAACCAACGTGCCACGACATGCCACGACCTGCTCCAGCCTGACAACTAAAATATGGATCGTCAATGCTGATGATCCCCCACCACCCCGGCGGAGCCCCACAAACCCAGCCACCCCGCCCCCGGCCAGCCCGCCGAGAGCCGAGCGTCGGCCTTGCCGTGGTCCACGCCTTCGGCGTCGCTGCGCCCGGAGGCGTCCACCACGTGCACCAAGCCTTGGAGTCGGAACCGTGGCGTGCGTTTCTGGCGTCCGGGGCTGGTCGTGTTCCCCACCGGACCTCAACTGCGAGGGTCGTGTGGCAGTGTTCGCCGGAAGTCGGTGACCACATACCTGGACCTTCTGGGGTTGTGCAATGGAGATCCAAATGCTGTCCCATTGGGGTGGTTGACGTCAATGTAGGCATACCAGTGCCATGGAGTGTCTGGGCAGTATTTCCCCGGTTCCGGGGATTAAAACCCAATACCTAGAATTCGAAAGACTATATTTTGCATCAGTTAAGTAGAGGGAGTTCCCTTTCAAGTATCCAAAGACTATTCTTGATATCTTTTTAGAGTCTTCTTTCACCCTCAGGGAATAGGAAGAAACACCGAAACATCTCCGTCCAATAGAGCTATACCATGACGCTATCGGCGTCGAGGAGGTCGTTGAGGAAGGCGTTGCCACGGCCATAGCCTAAATAGGCACCTGACACGAATCTTGGGGGGGGGGGGGCAGTTTTCGTGTGGCGGGTGTGTGTGAGAGGTAAGTGCTGGAACTCCTCAGCGAAGGTGCCATGTGTCTCATTGTGAATCCATAGGGGTGCAGGTCTGATATTACCCATACACTCCATGGGACTGCCATATATGCCTACATTGGCCCATCAAACCACCAATGTAGGCATTTATATGGCATACATGGAGTGAACGGTTAAGTAACTAATCTGAATATACTATACCCAAACACTTCATGGGACTGCCATATATGCCTACATTGACCCCCCAAACCACCCCAATGTGAGTAAATATACCATACATGGAGTGTCTGGGATATGATGACGTATACCATGTTCCGTACATATTCTCACTAACACAAACAATCTGTACTAAGTATTGGACTCTAAAGAACCCTGAACCTCTTTTTAAGACAGCCTCTCCTTCCAGCCCGTAGCAAACCGTAAAAGAAGCACAGGGTATTTTGATGCGTTTGATGATCGATGTATTTTATAATCGTCTGCTTGTTCCTGTGGACCAAAGTCACCCTTCCCTTTCCGAAGCTGCACCCTTACACCCCCTTGAAGACATGAACATATGAACATCCAGGAAAACCGCTCATTTCACAAAACCTGCACTTTATATCACTTCATCTTCCTCCTTCCCCTTCTAGCTGCCTAGCTCACTATCTGCGATGATCTGCCATCTTTGATCTCCCACCTGGCACCAGTCCAGCCACATCCTTCACCAGCAGCGGAAAGCGCCGCTGCCCACGGTCGGCCCGTCCATGCTCTGGTTCGCACTCGTCCTGCGCGGTGATTTTTTGTGCGGGATTGGGCCATGAGGGTTGGCACATCTTAGATGATTAACCTTTCTGGGCCGGGTTGGGGACACCCCACGAGTGCACATGGCCCAGTTCCCAGTGACTGGAGTGCCAGTCTCATGCTGACCTCGAACAGTCCATCTTCACGGTGTGCTGTGCGTTGTTGAACACCATAGTTGGAAAGGGAAGGTGCGTCAAGAGCGCAGCCAGTTTGAGTTCAAACTCTTTGGGTCGGCCGCACCCACTCAGATCGTGAAGCAAGCCGCCTGCGAAGTCCACACTGAAAAGGAAGCTGCGCCACATGGGGCACCTAACGCTCAGCTAGTCCCTTTCGATGGCCTTTTCGTGGCTGTTCACGGTGTTTCACCACGCTGTTCCACCGAGTCCCCCCCCGCGCCACTCGGTTCCGCCGCGAGACGAAAAATACGGGTCCGCCTGGCATTGGAGCGTCACGGAGGGGCAGGGCACAGCAAACCAGCCGGGCTCCACGTTGGGGTCGATGGTCGTGAAAGGATGTGGAGCCATCGCTGCTTCCTTTTCCTGAGATGCATGTGACTCGACCATTCAACAAGTACAAACATATAGGGGAAAACATGGGGGGGGGAACAGGGATGATTTGTCTGATTTGGTGCATGTTTCTTTGGGCAGGGGCCGAGCTGACCAATCTACTAAATATCATCATCCTGGAGTGGATCGAATATGATATATGGAGAAATACCAAGAACAATCAAAAACTCTTGTCAGTCCTTAGGTCTAGATCTTCTGCTCAAGGTTGAACTTTTAGGGGTTTTGTCGTACTCCCCCTATGAACCAAAGGGGCTGAGGGTCTAAGAGCATGCCAGCACCTTCAAGGGGTCACCAATGGAAGCCCCTACACCCCTTGAAGGTCCAGGGTGCCAAAAAGAAAGATTCAGAACTGGTATCCCCCTTACTTGATGCATTCAGGTGGCGTAGTACGGCATATTGTTACGCATTTTGTTTTTCCGCAAGGCATCTGCATTTCAATCATTTCATTTTTCGGTGCATGCAAGGGGGATGAATTGGTGGACGTTTTCGGGATCGGGTGTCACCCACGGGACCCTGCTCATCGCCCATCCACGAAGTAGAATTCTTCATCTGCACACCCGGACTGGCATCAAACACATGCCTGATTGGGATGCAACGACAAGGGGGTCAGGAGTGTGGAGTGTCTGGATTCCCGACCATTCGACGTGACATCCCAACATCAAACATCCAATTCTCCTCCAGGTTGCGCAACGTGTGGCCGCGTTGAAGAGCGTCGACTTTCCTGCTCACACAAATGTGCTCGCGATCGACTGGGTTGATCAGCTTGAGCTTGGCGATTGGTTCAACTCGCTTGAAAAGTATTGCCAGTGGGTGGAAAATCATCCCAGTATATAAAGCTTGAACGCAAACATAATCTGAAACCACCACCCATTTGGGGATTGAGGGGTTTCGGAGGTGAATGGGTTTTCAACGCCACGATGATCTGCTGTCATCGGTCAAACCACCGCAACTGCCACCGCACCGCTGGTCGAAGTGTCAAAAAGCCCGAGCGGTCAAACCATCTTGCGTATCTTCCAGGCATATCATCTTACTATCCTGCAGGACAAACACAAAAAAGGCAACAATATGCAACATCCTACTAGTAGCGAGAAGCTACTACTAGCATGTGGATCGCTATTAGGAACAGGTGCATCGCTACTAGTAGCTAGAAGCTACGAGTAGCAAGGGCATTACTACTAGTAGCAAGAAGCCACTAGCAGCTCCTGGCATTGCTACTAGTAGCAAGAAGCTACTACATAGTAGCTCCTTGCATTACTACTACTTAGAAAAAACTAGTAACAAGGGCATCGATACCAGTAACAAGGGCACTACTGGTAGCAAGAAGCTACTAGTAGCTTCTGGCATTACTACTAG